GCCAACAGGAAGAACTGTGAACAATAACTTCTGAAAAGGAGCTGGATTTGGTTGTGAATGAAAAATTCCTGAAAGAATTTTTGTCTATAGGGACTGATTGGCTGATTAGAATTTCAGTACCATGGAGAGATTGGAATGCTTCAGGTCCAGAGGCTAATTATCCTATCTTAGGCTAAATTGCCTCCCACTCCTACCTCTGTCTGAACTAACATCTTGTAACAATAAATAAAAGCCTTTTAGAATCTCCTGACTTAGCAGGCAATTAGCTTCTACCAAACCAAAAACTAAGAATGCCATCAGCATATTGAGCCTATAGAAAAGCATGCTTCACCTCAATGTATCTGCCTCTCTGGTGTACTCACAAATATACCTCAAACTTGCTTTGATTTACGACTTTCTCTGTTCTGTAAAACTATATGAAACTGCTTCCATGTTTGAACATGGAATTTAGGGTAACCTAAATCTGTGTTCCAAGGCTATGGCTAGTCAAAATGGCTCTAGAATAACTACCTCTTTTTCCTTTAGAAAGAAAGGAAGAAAGAAAGAAAAGAAGGAAAGAAAGAAAGAAGGGAGGGAGGGATGGAGGGAGAGAGGGAGGGAGGAACTAAATTAAAAACAAGACCCTCTTCTGTGTTGACTGCAAGAAATACATCTCATTGTAAAGGAAACAAAGCCTTAGAATAAAAGAATGGAAAAAGAAACTCTAAGATAATGGAAACAGAAAGCTAGCAAATGTAGCAATTTCAATTTCTAACAAAATGGCTCCAAATAAAAATTAATTAGAAGTGATACAGAAAGTCACTACACATATTACAATTCTGAATATACATGCCCTGAATATTGGAACATTCAATTTCATCAAAGTAAGTACTACTGGGTATGTTGGTTGACCTTCATACAGTAATACTGGATAGCTGTAATACCACATTTTCAACCAATGCACAGGTTATCCAAACCAAAACAAATTAACAAAGAAAAATAAGAGATCAATAACATTTAGTGAAAATGGACTTAACAGGCATCTGCAGAAGATTCCATCCACATCTTGCAGACTATGCATTCTTGTCAGTGGCCCATGACAGTTTTTTCTTAAATGGACTATATTGTGGTTCACAATGCAAGTCTTAGTACACAGAATAAAGCTGAAATAATTTCTTGTATCCTATCTGACAAATAACCTTAAACTAGAAGTTAAGAGCAAGGTAAGCTACAGAATATATACAAAATTGTGGGGAATTGAGCTACTATAAAAAGGTGACCTGATCATCACAGCAATAATGAAAGAAATGAAAAACTCCTGGAAGTGAATGAAAATAAAAACACAATATAACAAAACTTGTGGAATACAATCAACATGGTATTTTATAACTGTAAAAGCTTGCATTAAAAATAAAAGCCCAGAGGCATCACAAATAAATAACTTAATGATGAACATCTTAATGATAACCAAGAAGAGGCCAAACCCAAAACAGTAGATGGAAAGGAAGAATAAAGATCAAGACTGAATTTCAATGAAATATGGAGTTTGTTCTTCAGAATGCTAAATAAGATTGACAAACCATTAGCCAAACTACCTACAGGTTAGAAGACCCCAGATAATGAAATTGAAATGCAAATAGAGACATTACAACAGATTCCACACAGGATTATTAGGCAATATTTGGAAACTCCATATTATAATAAGCTAGATAAATTTTTAGATACATATGACCAACCAAAATTAAAATAGAATGATATAAACAATCTAACAGATCTGTAATCAGTAACAAGAGTTAGAGGAGATAACTGAATACTGTACTTCTCTTAACTATAACTATTTTCTACAATAAATTGCGTACAATGAAGTGTTGGTCTAGAAGAGGATAAAACAATAAAAGGAAGTAAATAAATTAAAGAATTTAAATAGATGGCTGCTTTTAAAATTGAGCACTTTAATCAATCACATTCAAACAAAATAAAATTCAAATGGTATTTGCACAGTATATATCTGTCTTTGCAGCTGGCTTTCCTACTATCATATAGAACAGAGGTGTAAGCAGTAGAAATTCTCGTGTCATGTCACAGAGCTTCAGTCAGATTTACATTCTTTGAAGAACTTGGACATAGGGCTTGGTTTAGATTGTGGCTTCTTTGATTGTCATGATGGGAAAAAGCAGCAGCTATTCTTGCCTACCTTATGTCTTAAGTGTGGTACCCTTGTCAATCTTGTGGAATTATCCCATGGCTCATATGCTGTGCTTGGAGCTCTGCTTTGGAATGCCTCTTCTGGAGATAAGGTAAACACCATAACTGTAAAGCTGATGGTCAATAGTTCCAACAATGCTATTCTCTGAACCAGATGATTCACTTCCAAAGTGGCAAGAATCATTTTAAGTTTGCACCTGCATGCTGTTGGAGTTATTAGGTGTGGACAGGGTGTGCTTACAGTTTACACAAAAGAGAGAACTCTCATTTAACAAAGAAATTGGGCCTGGAACTTAGTTTTCAGTGTCACTAAACTCTAACATCAGCCAATCAAAGGGTATCTTGTACTCCTGGACATACTGGTTGATTTTTTTTACATCAACTTTAAAAAATGTATCTAGAAATGTCCTGCCTAAAACATTACTTGGATGCCAATCCAAACTGAGGAACAAATAATGAATTGGTTTAATATCTACCAGCCATTTTCATAGTTGAATAAAAGACACAAAAGAATTATGTCTACTGCCAACAGTAGCAATCTTGTTCTCTGGGAGGGAGGGAAATCTTAGAAGATTAGTTGAAATAATTTTCATCATCATTAAACTTATGAAAAGTGAAATTAATGTAATTTCACTTCTTTCTACCCCTTTCTATTTATTATTTTTTTTTTGTGTATGAAGAATGGTTGTTTGTGTATGTGTACATTCACACGTGAGTGTGGGTGCAAGTGTGCCATAGTGAAAGTATGTAGAAGCCAGAAAGCAAACTTGAGTGTAGTAGGTCTTTGCTTAAAATTTTATACACCAAACACAAGGCACCTAGTTTCATAAAAACACTATTTAAAATCACATACTGATACTAACACACTGATAGTGGGTGACTTCAATATTCCACCATCACCGACAGGTCATCCAGACAAAAACTAAATAGAGAAACTCTGAAGTTAAATAATATCATAAATTAAATTGACTTAACAGACATCTATAGAACATTCCACTCAAATACCAAAGAAATCACTTTCTTCTCAGCAGCTAAGGGAACTTTCTCCAAAACTGGCCACCTATTAGGACACAAAGCAAGTTTCAACTATATAGAAAACTTGAAATAATGTCCTGAATCCTATGTTAATATGATGTCCTAAGTAAAGCTGGATCCCAACAACAATAGAGTAGAAAGTACACGAATTCATGCAAGCTGAACAATTCATTATTGAATGGAAATTGGGTCCAGGCAGAAATCAAGAAGGAAATTAAAAACTTTCTAGAATTTAATAAAGATGGAAACACAATAAACAAATCTATAGGACAATAAAGACAGTTCTAAGAGGAACGCTCACAGCATTAAGTACTGATTATAAACATTATAAACAAGCAAACAAATTCAAACTGGAGAGATCTCATATTAATAACTTAATGACACACTTGAAAGCTTTAGAAAAATAGAAAGAACATCTAAAAGTGTAGATGGAAAGAAATAATCAGTCTCAGGGCCAAAATTAATGAAATAGAAATGAAAGAAGTCAGTGAATCCAAGAATTGGTTCTTTGAAAAACTTCACAGCATTGACAATCCTTTAGCCAAATCAATTAAAAGAAAGGGAAAGATGATCCAAATTAATAAAATGAGAGAAGAAAAGGAAGATGCTGTAACAGACACCGGGGAAATTCAGGAAAACATAAGAACATACTTTAAAAAGCTACATCCTGCCAAACTGGAAGACCTAAAAGATATGGGTGAATTTCTTGATATATATGATCTGTTGAAGTTAAGTCAACATGAGGAAAATAATTTAAATAGACCCATAACTCCTACTGAAAGAGAGGCAGAATTGAAAATCTCCCAACTTAACAAAAGCTCAAGGCCAGATACATTTAGTATAGAATTCTACCAGACCTTCAAAATGTCATGGACTTTAAATTCTACCAGTTGGCAGCAATGGTGTTAGTTCCTGCTTTCAGAAGAGAAAAAAAGATTGGGAATATTAATAATAACAATATTAAAGAGCTAAAAAAGCAAAAAGGGGACAATATAAAGCAGCTTTTACACCTGAAGAACAGCACAAAGGCAATGGTAGCTTGTCTGTTTTAACCATGATCTTGGTTGGATTTCACGCTATAGCTTTGTGTCATAGTAAAGGAAATTAAAATATAGGCTATTTAGTAAGGTTTCAAAAAGTAAAACCAAGTCTCAAATGTGAACAAGTAGATACAAGTGCTGAAAGAAGTGTAAAGGCCTATCTAAGGAAGTATATTTCAGTGCAAGATTTAATAACTAAGCCTATGACCACTACAAAAAACCAATCTCCTTGAATCAAATTATCTACAATGTTCCTAACAACAAAACAAAACAAAACTAACCAAACACAAAAAATACCAAACCAAACCAAAACAAAACTAGAACCAGAACTCCATTTTATTTTGTACCAGATTTGTTTGGTTAAATAGTGTTAATTTTAAGCAACATCAACATATACAATAGGGAAAAGAACTCCAGAAGAATACCCATCACAAGATTGCAGTCATAAAGTCTACATATGTGACAAATATTTTAAAACATTTTTGTGATGAAAAGAAAACAAGCACTACATACCTTGATGTGAAATGACTTAAAATATGTAATTTTGTAAAATGATTATTAACAAACAATGTTGAATGCTGCCAACAGAACTCTATGGTGATTTTTACGAAAGCCTTTTTTGGGAAGCTATTAAATATGGCTATCTAGGAAGATTATGTCATTTATGGATTGGTTGGTCAAAATGTTCTAGCCAAATGAATGTAAGAAAACTTAAAGTTGTTGGCTTGTTGCCTACCGTACCAAGATCAGCCTTAAGATCTGTTGGCAGACTTAACTTTCTTGATCCTTTGACTGAAAAAACAGAAAAAGGAAAAAGGCAGTTGTTAATTATATGAAATAAAAAAGGAGTGTGGAGGGCAGTATGTTTCACAGTATATAGTCAGGTAGCATCCTGAAAATCACATTTACTATGCGTCTATGGGAACAGAAACATTGTTCCAATGTTAGTTGGGTTGCCATTCAGTTGCAAACTTTAAATAGTCAAACAGAAACATGAGAAAAACATTTGCTTTTAAGTAAAAAATTAAGTGAATATTTATATAGTTTATTATACAAGGTATGATTAAGTAATTTCTTAGTAGGAAATTACCAAAAATTAATTTCAGACATATTTAACATATAACATTGCAAACGAATGTATAAACTTACACTGTGCACAACAATACAAGTGAAAACACTAACTTTTATAACTAACTTGATTAAAAATAATCTAATTTAGTTCATTTTCAAATATGCAACTTCAACATCCTAGTTACCAGTATCAGTGTTATTTCATCTACCATGGACAGTATATTGATTAATATCACACATAATAGAATTTTCTTCTTTTGATTTATAAAACAGTGTTGATTGGTTTTTACTTTTATCATTGTTATGCATAATGGAAGTTTATCAAATCATCAGGCTTGGCAGCAATCATCTTTACTCAGCAAATTGTCTTTCTGTACCTTAAATATATTTTTTCTTGTGTTCTGAAATGTTACTTTTTAAGATTTTACTTCAACAATCTAAAGATGTAAGATCCACTCATATTTCACAAGTTACACAAATTTCTATGTGAGGATTTGACCCAGTTTGCTATAGACTCCTGACTATAATAAGTCATGCTATATTACATAAAAGCAAACATCAACTTTGATAAAAGCAGCATGCTTTTGTTCCTGTTGAAAATACATTTGCATATCACTCTATAAAGACTGAGAAGACCCTGGCGGCCGTGGTGCATACCTTTAATCCCAGCATTTGGGAGGCAGAGCCAGGTGGATCTCTGTGAGTTTGAGGCCAGCCTGGTCTACAGAGTGATATTCAGGACAGGTCCCAAAACTACACAGAGAAACCCTGTCTCGAAAAACCAAACAACTGAGAAGAAATAAAATCAGATTTTTAATAATTTGGTATTATAATCACCAACACAAACAGAAGATGTTACTTATATCAAAACATAACAAACAAAACCCCCCACATAATAATGATGATGCAGTATTATGAAAATATCTTACATTCCAATGACTGGAAATTTTGCAGGACCTCACATCCAAAATTAATAATATACCCTAACATCACTTAACACTTAAGGTTGCTACCCTACTATACACCCAGACTGTTTAACCTGCCTTTTAGAGAACAAGGTAACAACCAATCGTATTTGCCTTGGATTTCTCATGTAATCAGCTTCTACAGCCTCAGCTAATGGGTAGTTGTAATCTTAAGTTATGTGCTCTTTCATGCCCTGACCCAGAGTATGTGGTTTTATGCTAATGAATGTGGTTTTATGATAATCCAGAGTATGCATGAGGTTTTGTGATAATCATTTGCTTAAAACAGCAAATACAGACTGAAGGCAGTCATATAAAATGAATATCCATTGTAAGTGATGAAAGTAACATAAAGATGTTGTTTGATAAACAATGATATTCGTAGTACTGTGTAGTGGGTACTTGTTCCACCTATGATCCACAAACAGCCCCTAGGGCATGATCTCGGGACTAGCTTAAACCGAGGGACATGTATGCCTGGCCCTCTTCTCTACCTTGTGGGCTTGGTGGTGGTGCCGACTGACTCAGGTGGCAGGAGCAGTGAGGGACAGGACCTCAGTCTTCCAGCACCTGTGACGATTTGCCAATTCTCTTTAGTGAGTTGTTTTCTCCAATTTATGTTCTAATAAACTCCCTATACCCTCTAAGCAGACTCCCTTGTTTTTTGTTTTTTTGGTTTTTTTTTTCACAATATCTGGGACAATTGGAGTCTGTGACTTAACCCCTTGCAAAATTCTTTTAAAGGTATTTGTAAAGTATCCTTCATTCCTTATCCATGTGATGCTTTCTGTATGGTTCAAAAACTAAGAGCAAAGCTTTTTGCTACAGACAGACATAGACACAGGCAGACACAGATAAACACACACAGCCACACAGAGGCACAGGGGCAGACTCATACAACAGACAGACAAGAGAATGGAAGACACAGGGAGAGCCAAGTAGAGGATTCGAATTCAGGCTTACTCTTGGTTAAATGGCACCAAGGGGAAGTGCTTTCATTTCTGTCCTTAATGTGACACCCACATATTACTGGTTACTTTGAGTTTATTATTAATGCATTCAAATCGATCACATAATGGTACTTCAGAAGAGTTATTTCCTAACTCAGACAGATTGAAGAGGTAAGGAGTTCTCATTTAATCCTTTATATTGTTTCTATCTTGATTTTAAATAGGCTCTTTAACACATCTGCATCCTCCCTTCTCCTTTCTTCCCTCCCTTCTTCCCTCCCTCCCTCCCTGTTTGTCTCTGTCTCTCTCAAAGATTACATTGATTCTTTAAAAAAAGGCTTACAATCCCTGCCAGGTTTAAAAAGTCTAGGATCATACAGCAGAAAAATTACTACAGTGACAGATCCACATTCCCTACTATTCGTTGTTTGGCTTTGCTTGTTTTTCCTACAGGCAGGGCTTGCTCATAAAGTTTAAACTGGCTTCAAACTCACTAAGCATTTGAGGATGACTTTGAAATTATGATTCTCTTGTCTCTACCACCCAATGTTAGGATTATAGAAGTGCATTACATACTTGGTTTATATGGCACTGGAGATGGAATCAAGTCTTCATGCATGCTTGGCAAGCACTCTGCTAACTGAGCCACATCCCCGGCCCCTCTCCCCATCATTCTTCTTACGATACCCCACCACTGATATTCTAGCATTTAACTTTGGCTTTCAGATCTGCCTCCGTGTTTGGGAATCTCAGCTCCTACCCAGCTTACCACCTACCTTCCTGACCCTCTGTGGACTACTTTTCACCAGAAACCTAGGACTATTTTCACCAATCTTGTCCTCAATTGTGCTGCTTGGAAAGGGGAAGAGTGACTAGATGAGGGATTGATGAAGGAATTTCCCTAATAGCAATGCTAATAACAGGCCTCTGCTATTACGCATTCAATATTCTTCAGCTTTCCTGTGAATAAACTACTATTTACCTGTCAAGGTATCTCAGACAATGGGCTGGAGATAGATTACCCTAATGACAGCTAAGCAGATTAGGTGAACACATTCAAGCATCAGAGAATAAGAGGCAAATAATATTAAGAAGTATATTTAGAGTGCTTATTCATACTTAGTGCCTAAAGTGGCTGTGAGTTTTTTTCCAAGCACTTTTAGATCTGACACGTGAGAGCAGGAATCAGTTACTCAAGAGGTGCAAACCGAGACAGCTTGATGATGGCACAGCAGAGTAGATTGGGTTTGAATAAAATGTAATTTATGCAATGTGACCACGTTCATGCAGTTCTATAATTTCTCCCTTTGTATTTCCAATTAAGCTAAAATACACATTCCACTTTCATTTTATAACATCAGCCAAAGATAGAAAATGGAGTTGAATCTTCTCACTACCTGGTAGACTAGCACAGAGGAAGACTCAAGAGCCCTGGTTTAAGGACATGGAGAGCTGTTCAAGCTGATGCCTTCACTATCACATATAGTTCTACAAAATTCTTCCCACTTCATCTGTTTGAGTAATTCTCTGATAAGCTGCTGGAACTGAAATAGAATTTCCTTCTCTTCAAGAATAAACTCTTACAAAAAACATCAGTGGTCTGAGTTTGAAACAATGAAGCATGCGAAACATTCCTCATCTCATATACTGAATTTTAAAACACGGGAAGAGACTCAGGGTAGCAAAAATTTGTATTTTAAGATATTTTACAAATAACTTTGAAGTCCAAATATTGGCAGATCACGTTTTGAGAAACAATGTTATAAACCCTTCATGAATAACAACCAGGTCACTTCCACTTCCACTGCATTATCTGCAGTGCATTTTAATTTTTCATGTAAGAGAAGCCAGGTAGTTCTTAGTTACTAAACTAGCCATATATATATATGTGTGTGTGTGTGTGTGTGTGTGTGTGTGTGTGTGTGTGTGAGAAAGAGAGAAAGAGAGAGAGAGAGAGAGAGAGAGACAGAGAGACAGAGAGAGAGAGAGAGAGAGAGAGAGAGAGAGAGAGAGAGAGAGAGAGAGAGAGAGAGACTTTACTAGATCTTAAAATTAGTTATAATTAGATTTTTTCAAGTTAATATTTTTGGCTCTTTTGATTAAATTTCTTATCTCATAATGTTTGACTAACCATTTTTAAATGAGTGCAATGTATCATTATTATGAGTATTAGAAGTATATAATTCTGACGTTTTTTGGTTTTTGGTTTTTTTTGTACAACAGGCTAGTGCTTTCTAAGACACCAATGTCTTTTTAAGAGTGGCATCACACACTTGGCCCATAATGACTTATTCTCTATTAAAATATGCTAGGTCACATTGTTCGTATTGCACAGTCTCACCCAGAACAGATTCATTTTGGAAGAGCTACTCAACTGGTCTACAGAAAGTCATACAGAAAACAATATGATAGATAACTTAGCTGGGTCAGGAAATAGTGTTTCAACAAGATTACAGTTTGATCTCCTCTCCCTCCCTCTCTCCCAGGAATGAAACTCAGCCTCATGCATGCTAGGTAAGAGCTCAACCCCTGTTACTTATGAGCTATAGAACCAGCTCCATTTGACTTCTTATGACCCTAGTCCTGTTCGGCTCTGGGCAAATTATCAGGAATTTATTGTTATTCTTAATGTGAGGTGGCATACTTTTTGGAAATAAGAACAAAGGCAAGAGAATTCATAGAATTATACACTACAAAGTTAAATTTTATTCTGTTAATTATACCTCAGTACATCTGACATAAGAGAAATAAAATGCCAAGGAAAGCATCCCCACAGTTTACTCAATCCCTACTTACTAAACCATAGCTATCAATTTAGGTTTCATTTTTATTTCATTTGAGACAGTTTCTCATATAGTCCTGCTGGCCTCAATAGCTGAGCATGAGCGTCTATTCGGGATCCTTCCTGTTGTGTTTCCTGAGTGCTGCCATAGCACGCATGCACCCCACACCTAGTCTGTGCTGTGCTGGGGACTGAACTCAGGGATTCATGCATACTATGTAAGCACTCTGTCAACTGAGCTATGTTCTGGCTGATTTACTAAATTTCTTTTAAGTAGAATCGTTATGAGAGAACAATGATGATATAAATAAGTAAAAGGACTTGCTTAAGGCAAAATGTATTTGTAAATTCAGGCTCAAAGGTCACATCAGCAGATTATAAACTTTTGCAAAACTATTATTATTCATGCTTCCTAAATTTAGGTTTAATTTTAATGACAAGGCAAAGAAATCAATTTGAGCTTATCACAGCTTGTGCCAGAAAGAGATAATACACTCAGCCCTTAAATATGAACAGAATTTTAAACATTAAAATATGGTTTTGTTTAGTTGTCTTCATGTGTCTTGATTATAGCACGTCCTTTAATCACCTATAAATGCCCTTTTGCTAATCCTTCCTTCAGTTCAAAGTCAGTGAATAGTGCAATGTGGTTCATCAGAGATCTGTAATGACTTCAAATAAATGTCGGCCATATCCTCCTTTCTTAGCTGAATCAACAACTTTGTTTTTCCGAGACAGGCTTTCTCTGTGTAGTTTTGGAGCCTGTCCTGGATCTCGCTCTGTAGACCAGACTGGCCTCGAACTCACAGAAATCTGCCTGCCTATGCCTCCCTGAGTCCTGGGAGTAAAGGCATGCGCCATCACTGCTCAGCTTGAATCAACAATTTATAAACAGGTTAAACTCCAAATCAAAGTGTTAATGGCTACCACGGCTTTAATGATAATGTATACCATAAAGAAATACGTTATAAGTTTCCAATTCAAGCCTGCTGCTCAGCTGTTTCTTGAACAACTAGACTTTGATTTCTAGTGAAAGATTTTGAATGTGTTATGGCTAAGCCACAGTGAGCATTTGCAAGCCTAGAATGGTCAAAGGGAACTAACTTGCTCCCCTTAGGCCATGGATACTTGCCTTTGTGTTTGTAAAGAGAACCGACATATACTGTGGCTTACCTATGTTCTGGACACAAATTAACCTTTAAAGCTAAGATATTAACTAATGCAGTGATAGAAAGTGCCTGGATAAGGTGACTTTTTCTGATTTCAAAGTCATGCCCTTTAAACTGAGCAGCACGATCTTCTTGACATAGAAAACACTACCTGTATGGTCTAGACATCTTCTAGGAAACATACAAATCTCACACTAATTTAAAATAGTTGTTTTGATGAAAATGTTTGTGATGTTTACCAGTGTATTCACATATTTATTGATTAATTGAGTGGTTGAGTATGGCAATTGAATTTCCCTTGTCCTAACCCACAAACTGAGAAGACCAATACACCAGATATGTATATGGGCAAAGTTAAAAACAGAAACATTTTGAGGTCACCATGCCATGAAATGTCTGTATTCTATACCTGCCCCCCCCAGAAGAGGCTAAGATACAGTGGGCAGAGAGTTATTGCCATTAGAATTTGCCTTGGCATAAAAATATATCTTGCCATAATCTTATATTATACATTATATTTCTATTTAGACAATGTTAGTTAATGAATATCAATTTCATATACTTCTTCATTGAGTATAATACTTCATTTCTGACTAGTTTAATATATATCTCAAATGATAAATTTCCAGAGATGTCTCAGTTTTCAACCTATTTTTTTAAACCTTTTACAATAGGAGGCCAATGATTTATGACCATATAATCTAGGCCAAGTAATCAGAAGCCTGTGTGTGAGTCTTGCTGACCAAGACTTGAGCTAAATTGTTGCTCACAAGGTGGCCTGGAGTGAGTTAAAGAACTTTTGCCCTCAGCAACCTCACAGGGTTGTTGTAAAACTCAAAACAAGCTATCAGGACAAAAAATACCTTATTTGTGCTCAAGTACTATAAAATAGAAATTACAGTTTTTAACAAACAAGTGTAATAATTACATTAATTACATGAACTGTAAAAGTAAAGTAATTTTCAAAATGGGCTTTTCCTAGAACTTAAGTAGTAAATAAACTATTTTCTTCTACTATTTCAAGAAAGGTATATTTCTCAAGTTCTTTTTTAATATTTTTGTTAAATACAGTCTCTTTATAACTCAACTACTTCTTTCTCATTGCTCAGTCATATAGTTTTAATAGTAATTATTTATAAATGTCACATTGGCTTTCTCATTTAATGAATGAACACTAGAGGGAAATAGCTTAGGTAAACTGAAAATTTACCCCTTTCCTTTGAAACATTCTGAACTTTACTTTTCTCACCAGAAAAGGGTATGTAGAAACTACTGTCTATAAAGCTTTCACAACTACTTTTATCTTCCTTGGCTAACTGATCTTACTTGAGATCTATAATATTAGTAACTCTTTAGAGTTACAAATCTGGCCATGTTCACTTTGTAATGAATGACTAACTTAAGAAGGGTATACAGCCTGTGTTTGAGTTTGTTTGGGTCCCAACGAGCAGTTTCGGGTTTTAAGGCCTCTGCATAGTATTGTGATGATGAAACCTGTGAAGGACAATTCTTCAGGAAAACTTTGTGAAGCGGCAATTCTTTAATCGAGTCCTTGTGATCATCAGTGGTTGCTGCTGGTTACAGAAATCAACTCATTGGATTATAAAGGCTAATGGTGATTCTATAATAAAATCTCACTAGTTGGTGGGGGGGGCATTTAAATTTCCTGTTTGTCCTGTCCTTTCTCATAGGCTTCATGAGGTTATTCATCTGTATGGTTTTTAAAAAGTATCAAAATTCTAAGGGCCGGGCGGTGGTGGCGCACGCCTTTAATCCCAGCACTCGGGAGGCAGAGCCAGGTGGATCTCTGTGAGTTCAAGGCCAGCCTGGGCTACCAACCGAGTCCCAGGAAAGGCGCAAAGCTACACAGAGAAACCCTGTCTCGAAAAACGAAAAAAAAAAAAAAAAAAAAAACAAAATTCTAAGGAACATTTCAAGATAAGACAAAAGTCTTAGGAATCTCTACTTTTATAATGTGACATAAGTGTTTCTATTTAAATAAACGCTTCCAGCAACCTGTCTGTATTTGCCATGTTTTGACCTGTGTTTTCAGCACAACAAACCAGAAACAAGTTTTGAACTGTGAAGCAAATTGGGAAGAAACGCGTCTTTCGTTTATTCATAGAAAAGATTTTCACCTTCACCTGGCAAGTGGTGTACTTGATTCCTCTGTCTCACAGCTGGCATTTCATTCCTATAAAAGCCTGGTGCTGCCTCAGGAGTTCTGGTAGCAAGTCCTAAAGGAAGGGAATACAAGACTATTGGCATATAATTTCTCAGCCCAAGTGAACTAAGAATATTTCTTAAAGATCAACTTCCTAATGACTGCACAGAGGTCTGTGTACTGGGCTGGGCTGGGCTGGAGTGTGTGTGCGCATGTGCATGTATGCATGAAGAGATCAGAGGGAGGTGTCAAGTACCTTCCTGGATCACTTTCCTCCTTATATATTGAGGCAGGGCTTCTCACTTGAAGCCAGAGCTTGTTGATGCAGCTACTCTAGCTAGCCAGCCTGTTCCAGGAATCCTCTATCTCTGCCTCTCAAGGACTAGGGTTACAAGCAGACTGCCATACTATCTCACATGTATGTAGGTGCTGGGGAGCTGACCTACAGTACTCACGATTATGTGACAAGGTATTTTTTACTATTTTTATTCATTGAGCATCTTCCCAGCCCAATTTTGTGCCTTTATTTAATATAAATATGATTATGTATATACATACCTATGTATTACATATGTATATATTATAGGAGGGAAAATAAAGTTTCTTTGAAGATGCAGTGGGATATTAGGTACACAAAATTTACCAGAAGAAACACTAAGTCTGGGCCACTGAATCTAGATCAAGCCCAAGCCTGAGAAGATTTACAGTTAGCCACTCTATTTTTGACTATTTTATGATACCACTTCTCTGATATTTTAATAAAGATATGCATAATAAAATAAACATCTGTCACCCTAGCTATCAATGGACTTGGTTGCATATTAAGTTTTTTGTAAACTTTGGGAAATAGGAATTGTAAGGTTGGCGGAAATAATAGAAACAGAAGGAGTCTGGGACCCGATTGAAGCATAGAAGAGGATGCTCTCCTGGGCACACGATTTGAAAAAAGGTCTATATTCTTGAGATGATATAACCCCAAAATTAAAAGTTTGATTAGTTTTCAACTCTTTGTCCTGAGAAGGGGCTGTTTTCTTTAGAAAATTATAGTTCTGTCAGGCAACTGGGGGTAGGACTGAATATTAGGACCCATCCAACCCTCATGGAAGATGAGCTTATACAGGATACAAATTACACAACATTACCTGTTGAGTGCAAACGCATTTCATAGCTTTAAAAAGTATTAATTTTAACATTATTAATTTAATACTTGTTTCTGCAAATGGACTCTAGTTTTATTGTGATGAAGTATGTTTACTTTCTGTTCTTATATTTTCTTCAGTGGATAGCCTAATGTCTAACTGTGGAAACTGAAAATACTGGTTAAAGAGTTTAGTAAATGAATAACTAATATGAGAACAGTATGTTATCTTGAATGCTGAGAACATCAGATTCCAGTTGGCTCACTGGATTCCACAACTCCCAGTCTACTTTCCATTCTTTTTCATTACCTCAAGGACATACTTCATAGTCTGAACCTTCATCTCTGTTATTTGTAGTTTATTAGGGTATAAGAGACTGAGAATAAAGAAAAACTATATAAAATGATTACTGGCTTCCCTTAGTTCTAGCTTATCTTATTTCAATAGACATACATAGGATATTTTCACCTGATTTTAGACGATTTAATTGGGGGAGTCTAAGATCCTCCAATAATATTGTTTGTGAGGAATAACTACTGAGAAAAATATCTAAAATTTTTTCATAGGGAAAATTCTATATCTATCCCATTTAGGAAGATGTACTCAACTGCCATTATTAGCACGGAAGTGATAAATGAATTCCATCATAATACATAATTTTACCTCCAAGAAACAAAACACAGAGGTAGACAAAACTAACTGTCCTGCTTTGAAGCAATCTACTGGATTGCACTGCACGCAAGTCCTTCGAAGTTACCCTAAGAATAGCAGTGCAGTGGAGTTTCCAGAGGTGCCCTAACTCTCATAAAATAATAAACACTACAGGGAGAGGGATACAGGTAGGATGCTCACCAAAACCTTTCAGCAGTTAGCACACATTTTAAGGCCTTATCCCTAAGGTTAGAAACAAGGATGTTACTAACATCACATCTATGCAATACTATAGGGAGGCCTTAGACAACATCTTTCTTTAGAAGAAGAACTAGAAATGCCGTTTTCACTGGGAATGTAATTAAATATGTAGATAATCTAAAAGAATGTATGAACTATTAGAATCTGTAAATTTAACAAGTTTTTGGATGCAAATGTAATTTGTACATATTATGTTTTTGTATTCTAGTCACAAATGTCTAGAAAATTAAATGACATTTATAATAATTGAAAAATCAAATACAAAAGAAATCTAATGAAAGATGAACAACACTTCTACAATGAAAATTAAAAATCATTACTGAGTTAAAAAACCTACATACAAATGTGTAATACAAAGGGGAAATTCAATATTATTAGACATGTAAATTATACCTGATTGATCTATAACTAGTGGAATTGTAATAACAATGTAAACATGCTTATATGTTATAATAAATTATTCCCCAAAGTTAAAAAAAATTAGAATATATAAAACAATCCTGAAAAGGGACCAAAAATTTGGAGAAACTGTCATCAGTATTTATGAAGCTATATTAATTAAAACAGTATGGTCTGAAAAAGTTGTATACATTATATTTAGAATGAAAGATAAAGCCTATACACACACACACACACACACACACACACACACACACACACACACGCACGCACGCACACATGCACCACAACATAAAGATCACTGATTTACAGGAAAACCTCCACTTCTATGCAGTGAAGGAAAGGGTAGTTTCCAAATATATCTCACTTATCAATTGAATAGCTAAACAGCTTCTTCCTCATATTATATACAGAACAAATTCCATATGGAAATTAAAAGTGGAATATAAAACAATAAGCTTCTAGATGATAGTATTAAAAGTTGCTTCATGCTCATAGAGTGGGCAAAGATTTTCTTTAAACAAAAACTCATAAAGTACTCCAATAAAATAAAACATTGTCAAGTTGAATTATATTAGAACCAGCATTGACTTTAAGTTAAAGGAAAAACAACAGAGAAGGAATAAGATATTTTGTACCATATACATGCATCAAAAGACATCTGTCCAGCACTACACAAACACATAAGAAATTAATAAAAAAAATGTAGAAAAGAATTAAATGTCTTATAAAAGAGGATAAATAGTAGGTACATTTTCAAAATCAACAGACATTAGAGACGTGCAATCCAATTTATGCCTACAATGAAATAATACTATATATACTTCAAAATGACTATAATTTTAAAAATTAACTGCCTTTAACAATGAATATCAGGAAGTATATGAAAGAATGGACACTTTGAGCACTTTAAGGGGAAGTAAATTGGTACAACTACTTTAGAAAATTCTTTGGTAGTATATTTGCTAAATCTGTACATTTGCATAATTGACATTCCCCCAGTTCTACTTCTAGACCTATATGCAACAGAAATGAGTCAACATTTGCATTAAAAAGGTAGAAGATAGTCATATCGGCTCATTTATATAAGCCTCAAAGCACCAAATGTTCTGTAACATTAAATTGAGGCATGTTTATATAATGAGATATTACATAGCAAAAATATCATTCTGTAATTGAGATGGATGCACCCATAGAGGGGGGAGGGAGAAAGAGAGGTGAGGGAGAGGACAGATAAACAAGAAAAGTAAATATCATATGATTTCATTCATATCAAAGTACCACAATTCTGATTTATGTTAATAAACACATACAAGTCATAATACACAGAAATAGGAGAACAGTAGATGCTGTTGTGGAGGTCAGGGTAATGTTATACATGTTCTGTTTCCAACTGGGAGTTTTACATGGTATATTTATTTGTTAAATGAATCTGGCTGAGATTTTTAAGATGTATGCACTGTAAAGCTTATGTACTATAATCCAGAAAAATGTTTAGCCAGAAGAGTTAGGGGTAAGGTATTCCAAAATATTTGAAATTAGAAAAACACGAGTTATGGTATTGATGGTAAAACTTAGGTAAAGAACATAATATGTAAAGTAAAAAATACCACTGATTGCTAAAAGTTATACTTTAAATGTGGATATGCTTTCCAAATATCAGCATACAAAATATGACATAGTAAGTAAAAAATACTCTGAGAAATAAAAATGGCAAGTAGAAAGAAAAACAACAAATATATTGCCATTTTTAATTTACTGATTTTCAGTTCTTGGCAGGTAAAGCAAGCAGAACATAAATAGGAACACAAGAAATAAAGTAATACTGCTACCCAATGCTATAAATTCGCTTAAAGTAACTCGGGTCAAAAGCAAAAGCAAAAGCAAACAGAAAACTCTCACTCCATTCAGGGAAGCAGGTACATTACCTGAAATTTTGACCTCTTCCTCCTCTCCCCCAAGTCCAATCCCCAGCCTTACCCCCAGCCCTTCAGTGGAGCTCCTCTCGTCTCTGACACCATCTCCAGCGGATCACACAAATCTTCCCCTCAACTTCTGTCCACAGACTCATTGCTTTATCCTAGCCCCAACTCCAGCAGGCATCCCCCGAGGAGAACCCCCAGTCACTCCTGCCAGCTAAGCAGGTAGGCTAACAGCAGATCTTTCACCTCTCCATTCCTCCAAATCCAGCCCTCCAGTCTCATCTCCAGCTCTGTAGCAGACCGCCTACTGTGGCATCTCTCCAACCTCTGTCCTCATTCCTAGGGGACTAAGCAGATACGGGTGGAAGACCCTGCTTTCCTCCCTTCTTTCGACCCCCTCAGCTCCCTTCCTAGCCCAACCCCATTCCTAAGTGTCAGCTCTCAATACCTAGAAACACATGTTACCTGGAACCTCCAGTGGCCATACCTAGCAGGGTCCTGGAAGGATTTTCTACCAGGCAACACACAGCTACCACACTTTCCTAAGAACCAGAGAGGGCAACAGAAACTGAGGAACAAAACACTCACTCCACAAAGACAAAACTAGATATCATCACCCAGAATTACAGTTTTCCCAAACCCAGATGTCTAAATGTCAGTGTAAAAACACCATCACTAACAGCCAGGACAATATGTCTCCACTAAAGCCCAACAATCCTACTACAGCAGGCCCTGACTATTACAGCATTGCTGAAGCATGAGATGAAGATCTTAAAACAGCCTATGTAAATATGATAGAGGTCCTTAGAGAGGAAATGAATAAATCTCTTGAAAAATCTAAGAAAACATAAATGAACAGTGGGAGGAAATTAATCAAACAGTTCAAGATCTAAAAGTACAGAGAGAATAAATAAAGTAAAATAAAAGTGAGGGAGATCTGGAAATGAAATATTTGAGAATGTGAACAGGAACCTTAGAGACAAGCCTCAACAACAGAATTCAAGAGATTGAAGAGAGAATCTCAGACTCTGAAGACATGATAGAAGAAATAGATAGCTCAAGCAAAGAAAATGCTAAATCTAAAAAAAACTGGAACAGAACCTCTAGAAAATCTGGGACACTATGAAAAGACCAAATCTAAGAGTTATAGGAATAGAGGAAGGAGAAGAAACTTAGGTCAAAGGCACAGAAAGTATTTTTCACAAAATCATAGAAGAAAATTTCCCTCACCTAAAGAAGGAGATGCTTATCAAGGTACAAGAACCATACAGAACACCAAGTAGACTGAAACAGAAGGGAAATTCCCCATCACATAATTAAAACACTAAACATATAGAACAAAGAAAGAGTATTAAAAGCTGCAAAGAAAAAAGAACAAGTCATATATGAAGACAGCTATATTCAAATAACATCTGACTTCTCAGTGGAGACTCTAAAACCTAGAAGAGCCTGGACAGATGTTCTACAGACTAAGAGAACATAGATGGCAGCCAGCAAAACATTCAATCACAATAGATGGAGAAAATGAGACATTCCAAGATAAACCAAATTTAAACAATATAGATCTACAAATTCAGCCCTACAAAAGGCACTAGAAGGAAAATTCAAACCTAAATAGGTTAACTACACCCAAGAAAACACAAGGAATAAATAATCCCAGACCAGCAAATCTAGAGGGTAAACACATACACACCACCGCCGCCACCGCCGCCACCACCACCACCACCACCACTGCTGCCACCACTACAACAATAAAATAACAGGAATTAACAAATACTTCTCATTGATATCTCTCAACATCAATGGTCTAAATTCCTCAATAATAAGGCACAGACTAACAGATAAGAAAACTGTAAGTCGATGCAAGCAAAATTATAGTAAACTACGTAAAACAAGGAGCTAAAATGAATGTCTTTTTTTGTTTATTTTCAAACAAAAATAGTCTAGAAAAATAAATAAAAAATAACAGTAATATTCAGCTTTTCAGGAGGATGGAAATATGTGAGGACAGAATGGAAGGGAGAGTTCAATGTTTATTATTCAAATTTAAAGTTAGGTTGGTGCAACAATTGGATATAGGACAATGAATTATATGAAAGATTTTTAGCTATAAGAAAATATGACAAAGTAATATTTTAAGGAAGTTAATTCTGCAACATGATATGGAGGGAGTTTAAAAGGCAAAAACATTTGCCAGAACATTTTTGTGTTACTCTAGGTACGAGGCAATGATTTCCTAAATCACGAGGGTGCCAAAGAGGATGCAAAAAGAAGGGTGCATTTAGGCAATCAAAATAAAATCACCATGGTGCCGGGGAGACAGTCAGTGGTTAAGAGTACTGCTCTTGCAGAGGAACCAGTTTTGGTTCCCAGCATACACGTGACTAGTCACAACCACTTGTTTATATTTGCAATATCAGATCTGATGCCTTTGTCTGGCATCTGCAAGCTCCTGCACATATGTGGTACACATATTTTTGTAGGCTTACACATATACAAATAAAATTATCTTTAAAAAAAGCAATAAAATAAGAATGGAAAGATCTTATTAAAAGAAAACTTCACATAGGACGCAATAGGTTCTACATAGGCTAGACGCCTGTAGAGCAAGGAAAAAGAATCAGCAACTTGTAAAAGGTATACAGCAAATTGAAGAAATGCTGCAATAATTTTTAAAATCCAGATACATGCTTTAAAAAGCATTATTAGCCGGGCGGTGGTGGCGCACGCCTTTAATCCCAGCACTCGGGAGGCAGAGGCCGGCGGATCTCTGTGAGTTCGAGGCCAGCCTGGGCTACCAAGTGAGTTCCAGGAAAGGCGCAAAGCTACACAGAGAAACCCTGTCTCGAAAAACCAAAAAAAAAAAAAAAAGCATTATTAAATTTTAATAATTCCATACACAATAAATAATGTAACTAAAAAGTAATGTAAATAAAAGTAATGATATCTTTTGCTATTCTGAGAAAAATAGTATTTTATAGTGTTAGGGCCCAAACCCAGGGCCTTGTACATGCTAGGCAAGCACTCTACCATTTAGCTACACATCAATCACGTCTTTTGAAATATGATAGGAATGGATCTATCCACTATCAAAGATACACATGATAATTAAGTGCTAAAATTTTATCCATTGTCATATACTCATTATAGAAAATTCAGAATAAACAGATGTTTTAAAAATAATTTTCAATTTTTTTGAGATAATATATAATCAGATTTAAAAAAATATGCAACCACTCAGAATCATATCATGCAAAGATATTTATTAATTTATTTATATGCTTTAAAGATTTATCTCTAGGAATCTCTTTCCTCAAAGTGTTACATGTACTTTTAGTGGGCTCACATTTTATTTTGAAAATGTTTTATTTCCTGCCATATTAGATTTCATTTTAATTTATCATTAAATAAGCATGTCATGAATAGTGGCCCAGGTGCATGCTATAATTTTTTTCTGCACCTAAAATTTAAATTTCTCACAAATTTAACTATACCAATAGATGACAAAGCTTTGTATCTATTACCCATTTTTATTTGACACATTTTTAGGCACTCTTGCCACATGTGAAAAATTATCTTTCTTTAAGAAATATTTTAAAATATTATATTCATACTTCTGATCTTATTTTTATTTTGGACCAAGAATATTCTAAAAGACATTCATTTGTACTTATTTTGGAAACAAAGCTACTTATGACTAAATTTCAGAAACTGAATTAACTACTAATTTGAAAAGAATTATGAAAATATATCAATAGCTTACTATAGTAATCACCAGAAGCTTGAACAACACCACTCTGTTTACCTGAGGTGGGAGACTTGCATCGCTCTAGTTCCAGAGGAACTGGACTATCGTTCAGCTCTGTTAAGCCTGGAAATGTAATAGAGGGGGAGAGGGAGAGAGAAAAAAGATAAATTTTGCTGACACTTCATAGGCAATTCTTATTTATAGGTAATTGCTTCAAGCTTTTTTAACTTGTGAAAACTACTTTACCATACCCATCTTATGTAAATTAATTTGAAAAACCTGTGATACAGGAATAAATAAATGACAACTTACTGATACAAAGAGTAATTAAACATGGATGGTGTAAAGATAAGTCTTTATTATTTACACTTAACTACTTTAATAAATAACCAAATTCCTTAGCAAATATACCAAGAAGAATAGGAAATAGAAAGTGCTTTAAAAAGACATAATACAATCTTCTACTTCAGGAGGTATTGATTTTAAAAAGATCTTTTAAGAGATACTACAGATTTAAAATTTTTATAATTGTTTTTAGTATTTTCTATATAAAAGTGATTTGTTCAATGTCATCAAGGTACAATAAACACTACATCATTCTCTTATTTCTAGTATTTCTTACTTTCTATTTTATCACTTTCTGGATAATACAAGGATAAAGCAGGACAGATTAATATATATTTTGTGGTTCTCAAAATCTGCAACTCTGTATTCCTAAAACATTCATAAAATACCATTCATCATAGTTTCCTATTCTTGATGGATAACCTTATGTAATTTTTCATTTGTTTATAACTATTCAGTTTGCACTTATCTATGTCTCTATACCCAGAAATATTTGAGAGGTATTGTGAATGATGAAATTTGTCTTTGTTCCTATTCTTCCCTATCACCTTTTCATTATGCAATTTATGTAACAAATGCCAGAAGTGCTACTGTGGTCTTTGTTTTATGGGAGGAATGTGGAAGATTTTGGAATTTGAGCTGGAAAAGGAACTGAAGGCTGTAAGTGGAGCTTAAGGGGCTGTCCTAGTAGGAACTTCGAAGACAGGAGTGGTGAGAGAAACATGGACAATGGAGGTCAAGCTCATGAGAAACAAGGACTCAATCAAGAATGGGTCCAGGGGCATTTGTGGGATTTTGATCAAAGAATTGGATACACTCTGCCCATGTCCTGAGAATTTGCATGAAGCAGCTTCAAAAAGCAACAGATGAATTCTTTGGGTAGAGGAGATTTTATGACAATATAACATTCAGTTTGTGCCATTTGTTATGAATGACTGCACTTGCACACGTCTACAATGAAAAAGAACAAGTGGGGCAAAACGATATAAAAACTGAAGTTTGGCGAGGAAAGAACACTAGGACGTTGCTAAAGGGACTAGTGTCATTAAAGAAAAGCCACCTGCTCTGCGCTGCAACACCAGGAAAGAGATGCTGAGGGTAAGAGCTCATCCACTAAAGGCTCCAACTCATGACAGGAGAGAGTGCAAGGGATTTCCCACTCCTGGAAGGTCAGACCCTGGAGCAGTGGTTCTCAACCTGTGGGTCGCAACCTCTTTGGAGGTTAAGCAACCCTTTCACAAGGGCACATATTAGACGTTCTGCATATAAGATATTTACATTATGGGTCATAACAGTAGCGAACTACAGTGAGAAAGTAGCAATGAAAACAATTTTATGATTGGGGGTCACTACAACATAATGAACTGTATAAAAAGGGTCACAGCATTAGGAAGATTGAGAACCACTTCCCTAGAGGGTTTTTTTTTTGTTTTGTTTCATTTTGTTTTTTAACTTTGGCATGCAGAGGCTATTGTAACTGTGTTCCAAAGGGACCATACTCTTATTTTAGCTGGAAGCAGAACTTGGCAGTGTTATCCATGTGGTACTGGTTTTGGGGGCATGAGAGATACAAGATTGAGGGGATCATCAATTCATCTTCTATGGTTTCAGCCATGGAGGCTGGGCAATGTGTGGCAGGGTTGGAGTACCTACATGAAGGCCTTCAGGAGCCATTGTGTGAGGCTGTGAAGATGAAACCTGAGTTATGATGATGGAGTGGTGGAGACCTAAAGATGTTGGATATACCAGAGCCAAGGAACACCTGCCAAGGAGGGCTGCATACAGGAAGTACAAACTGCCCTGGAGAGAGATCATACTGCAGGAAGCACATAGGGAGGGGTGGAGCTGCCTAAGCCCTTTCAAACTGAAGCTCTAGATACTGGATACTGAGTTACAGGATTTTATGTTTTCTTGCTGGGTTATGACCTTACTTTGGACCAATGTGTCCTCACTATGTTCCTATTCCTCTATTTGGAATGAGAATGTATGCTCTGTGCCATTGTTAAATTAGAAGAACAAATCTGTGTTTTATTTTATAGGGGGTTGCACTTAGGAGTCTGCCCTGAGTCTAAGAAGAGACTTTTAAACACTGGTACAACTATTAAGGACTATGGGGATTTTTTTTAAGTTGTACTAAATTGATTTGCATCATGAGATGACCATGAGCATATGGAGCAAAGGACAGAATTTTATGGCTGAAATGTAAATGTCTCCCATAGGCTCATGCATTGACTACTTGGTCCCAGCTGGTGGTGCTGTTAGGAAGGTTAGAGAATCTTTAGTAGGTGGAACCTTGCAGAAGGAAGTATGTCCCTGGGAGAGTCTTGAGGTTTTACAGCCTAGCTCCTGGGTAGCCTCGTGTGTCTGCTGCCACACCTTCCCTGCCACAATGGACTGTATCATCTCTTGAACTGAAAGCCAAAATAAACTCTATCTCTTTTAAGTTGCTTTTGTCAGAGTATTTTGTAACAGCAACAGAAAAGAAACTAGTATAGGAACAGAAAAAAATCCTCATAGAATTTGCAAACTAAAATGTAATGTCATATTATGAATATGTGGCTTAACCCCTATGTTCATAGATGAGATACTGTAAGATCAAAGAGGTGAGGATATAATATACTTTTTTGAATAAATAAATTCACAGTAAATCAATGATAAAGCTTAAGCAAAAACCAATCTATAATTATAATCATTCATCAGAGTATGTTCTGAGAAACATATCACCAGATGATCCTGTCATTGTATACATATCACAGAGTGTACTTATACAAACCTGGGTAGTATAGCCTTTAAAATATTCAGTACATATGAGCTATTTCTCCTTGTCTGAACACTTTTACAGTATGTTACTGTACTATTTACACTGTAACACAATCATAAGTCTTTACATTTCTAATCAAACAAATGATAGGGTAAAAATTCAAGGTCACAGGAAGTTTTCTGCTCTATCATATTCTCAGAGTTGAGCTTAAGTTCTAAGGCATGGTATTTGAGATTTTATTGGAAATTTCAAAAGCATTGGAAAATTTCAAGATTTTTTTAACTTAGTAAGATTATCCAACGTTTAAATTTCTATTTTCTGTCACTATATAGTTATAATATTTACTGATATAAGCATTACTATTAACCTGAAAATAGACTTATATTAAGTAGTTAACTTAAATGATATTGAGCACAATTTTATGCCCAAGAGATAAAAAGTAGATACAAGGAAGTTTATTATTACTTATTATTAAATAAGTAATATTAATTTACAATTGCACTATGACCTTATCTTATGTAGTTCTTGAATTTTTGTTCACTTAAAAGGCTTTGTTATATAACATTCAATTAGAAATAACAGTTTATAAAAAAGGAAGAGACTACCTAAACTAGAAATATTAAGAAAAGTAACTTGGAACAACAGATAAATAATAGAAAAAAGAATTATAATGATTAGTGAGTGATGTGTATGGCTGGAAAAAATTCTCCAGGCTTTAGAGAGACTTAGAAAACTTTGGCTGACTTTGAATAATCAAAGTTATGAATGTCTAATGCCCACATTTCATTATATGTAATATTTTGTACGTAATACACTGCTAGGTAATTTATGTAAGTTATCTCTTTTACCCCTAACAATATCATGAGAAAAGTTATATTATTACTCTTATTATACTGATAAGAAGAGGCAGAGGCCATTACATAAATTTCCCAGGCTATATAGCTCTTAGGAAGTAGGAAAGATGAGATTAGGTAATTACAGTGTAATTAATAGGCAAGAAGCATGGACATTTCACAAAAAATTAAAATAAAAAAACTAGAAGTTAAAAACTTAGCTTTAAGGCTGGAAGACAATTATTCTGTAAATTGCCTGCCACACAAACATGGGGATCTGAGTATGATCCTCAGGACCCATGTAAAAAAGCCAGGTATGGTGGCACATAATTGCAATTCCAGTGCTGGAGACACTGGCTGCCTCAAAGAACAATGTGGATTATCCCCAAAGAGTGGCACTTGAGATTGACCACTGGCTTCCTCATGTGCGCACAGACGTGAAAACGTGCACCTCCATGTGTGAGCACTTGCACATGCAGGAGCACACACACAGAGCTAAGCTTCATCTACCTATTTCTGTACTGCTTAGTGAACCTGCTGTTTGTCTAGCTCTTTGACTATAGTTGTAATCAAAATGGACTTAATGAGGAAACGATTTCCATGTGTCAAGTTACAATGTATCCCAAACTCATACTGAAGATTTTATAGTTATTATTACTTAATACAATTATTAAAACAATAGTTTTTTGAAATATACATTTTTTTGACTATGGAAATAGTATTCTATCCTTATATAAAACTTGGAAAAATAGGAAAGTGACTGAGGAGGTATAATTATATCCCAGTTTTGAGTCATTTTCTCCCTTTTATGATTATTTTAATGTAATATGTTTCATGTTCATATTTTATAAGCATTTTTCCTTTCATTTAAACATTGACAAGTCATTGCAATGCTGTAACATAGTTTTTATGGGTTTTTTTTTTTTTTGGTTTTTCGAGACAGGGTTTCTCTGTGTAGCTTTGCGCCTTTCCTGGAACTCGCTTTGGAGACCAGGCTGGCCTCGAACTCACAGAGATCCGCCTGCCTCTGCCTCCTGAGTGCTGGTACGCCACCACCGCCCGGCTTTAATGGGGTCTAATATGGTCTAATAATACCAATCCCGGCACATGTGCTGATTCCCATCACCTCACCTTCCCAAGAATTGTGTTCCTTTTAGTATCTCCCCTTCTTCCTTATCACAAAC